GCTTAGGCAAGCACAGGGCCCAGGGTTTGATCCCTAGCACTACGCGTTGCACCGGCCCCACCCCCAGGCTCGCTGAGCCAGCTACCAAGACCTGCTGTGGTGGCACACGCCTGTACTCCCAGTGCTCAGGAGGCTGAGACAGGAGGATCACTACGTGTCTGAGCTGCATTGAGACTCTGTACTAAATACATTTTTTAAAAAATCAAATGACAGAGTAGTATAAAAAGACCATATCTATTTTTTTTTTAAACATTATTTGCTTTTTTGGTGCCTGGAATTGAACTCAGGGCCTTGTCCTTGCCAGGCAGGCACTGCATTGCTAAGACTGTATCTTACTTTTTTTTTTTTTTTTTAATGTATTTGGTTGTTACAGGGTCTCACTATGCAGCTCCGACTCATAATGGTCCTCCTGTTTTCAGCCTCCCCAGTGCTGGGATTACAGGCATGTGCCACTACTCCCAAACTCTGTGGCCTGACTTGGGCCGCCCTGGAGGCAGGGCTGGCACAACATGTGGTGCCAGGGATCGAACTGCAGTCCCTGTGCTTGCCTAAGCTTGCTTAAGCAGGTGCTTTAGTTCGCTGAGCTATCCTGCCTGCCCCCATATCTTTCTTATCCATTCCTTGGTTGATGGGCATTTGGGTTGTTTCCATGATTTAGCTGTTTGTTTTTTGTATCAGAGAGCAAACTCGGGACCTAGCACTTGCCAGACATGTGCTTATGCCACTGAGCTACTTACCCAGCCCATAGCTGTTATAAATTGTATGCTATAAACACGGGTGCACATGCAGCACTGTGGTTGTTTTAATTCTTCTGAGAGTATTCCCCAAAGGGAAATAACTGGGTCACATGGGACCTCTACTCTTAAATTTTTAGGGATTAGATTTTTAAAAAATGACTCCTGAGGTTATTGGTCAGGTAGCAATGCTGAGATAGTAGAGATTCTCCCTGGATTCAGCACCCTGGGTGCTCATCTGGGGAAGTGGTTGTTGTGTACATCCCTAAGCTTGCTAATGAGGTGAAGGAAAAAGGATGCCCCTTATCCCTATCAGCAGGTCTGACTGAAAGAGACAGGCACATCTCTGGCATTAAGGAAGCATTTTCTTTCTTGCTTTTTTTTTTTTTTTTTTTTTTTTTTTTTGTGCAGGGTCTTACTATGCAGCTTGGACTCATAGTGATCCTCCTGTTTTCAAGCCTCCCAGTGCTGGGATTATAAGCAAGTACCACCATGCCTGGACTCAGTTGCCAGCTCAGCACACCCAGGGGTGGGCAGGTATGGCATGAGGTACCAGGGACTGAACCCTGATCCCTGAGCTTGCCTAAGCAGGCGTTTAGTCTGCTGAGCTATCTCGCCAGCCCAGGAAGCATTTTCCTTTTTTTTTTTTTTTTCGTGGTACTGGGGATTGAACTCTTGACCCTGAACTTGCCAGGCAAGCACTTACTCTACTGAGCTATCTCCCCAGTCCAAACTTTTTTTTTTTTTTGATGAGGAAGCATTTTCTTGATAAAAAAAATCATGATCATCTACCTTTATTAATGATGCAGTATATTATGTAGTATGCAGTATGCTATGTAATACTTAACAAAAATAAAATGGAAAACTGATTGCAAATCTAAGTATGTATTTCCAGGTCCCTAACAGACATATCTATTGGAAAATCCTACAGGTACTTCTAACTCCATGTATCTAGTGCTTGTGGGGCACTCCTGGGGTTTGCTTTTAATACCTTAAGCATTAATTGGTACATAAGAACCACATATATAGTGCATAATTTGATAAGCTTTGACACATGTATCTACCTGTTACACTATCCCCTAATAAAAAGTAACCCTATTTGTGGCAGGGCATGGTGGTGCACACCTGTAATCCCAGTGCTCTGAGAAGCTGAACCAGGAGGACCGCAAAGTGGAGCACAGCCTGCATGGCACAGTGGCTTAGCAAGAGATCAAGATGGGGCCCTGCGATGTAGTTCTATGCGAAAGCCCTGCATTTGATTTCAAGCACCTCAGACAACACAAAACAACAGAACATTTCCATCCTCCCTAAAAGCGTCTTGCTTTTGTCATCTGCCATTCTCACCAGCACCAGCATATAGGAATGCCGGTCACATTTCCTCATTTCCCTGCCCACAGGATGGGGACATCCACCGCCAGCCTCCCAAGTGCTGGGGTTACAGGCATGTAGCATTAGGCCCTCTGTTTTTATTGCTTAATTTTGTCAGTTTGTTGCTTGCAAACAGAGGGCTCACATAAATGCCCTTCTTTCTACAGTTACTGTTTTGGGAAATGACACCACCAGACGCCACACTCAAGACTAACCTAGACTATCTTAAAACCTCAGTGTTCATTACGTGTTGCCTTCTTAAAAATTTACATATTTGGTACAAGGTCTCACAACATTGTGTTCGACTGAAGTTTGTCTCCCTTGGATTATTTTGCTGAATTTACACACCTACAATATTTAAATGGCAATGGAATACCCATTTCTGACAAAACTAAACAAAAAAGAGGGATGTAAATAAAGGACCATTTTGTTGTGATATATATATAAAGATAGATATACGGCTACATTCTCTTAGTTCAATGAGAATAAAGGTTTGTACCAATATTGTTCTGACAAGATATCATGTCTGTATCTTGTCTTCTGAATATCTACTATGAAGAAAACAATATGCTGTGTATTGATTATTGTAAATGTCCTACTAACCTGTTTTGAAACTGTCTCATTGCTGTTTCTCAATAAAATAAAAATAATATTGTCTCCTTAAAGATCTTGCCTCCTACCTGGGCATATTGGCCTATGCTTATAAATAGCTACACAGATCTCAGCTGAAGGAGGAGGATCACAAGTTCAAGGCCAGCTTAAACAGTTTAGAGGGACCCTGTTTTCTAAAAAAATGGGGGCCAGGGATACTGCTCAGTGAGACAGTCTCTGCCTCATGGGTTCAATCCCTAGTACTGAGGGAGGAAAAAAAAGGCAAAAAACCCTAGTTTCTTCTCAAACAGTTTCTTTTGAAATTTTTTATTTATTTTTTATTTTTTCAGACAGGGTCTCACTATGTAGCACAGGCTGGCCTTGAACTCCCTTATGTAGTCCAGCATGGCCTCCAACTCAGAGTGATCCTCCTGCTTCAGCCTTCCAACTGCATATGCCACTAGGCCTGGCTTCAAATTGTTCCATTAGTACCTAGTACTTGGCATAAAGTAGGTGTTCAATAAGTTCGTACTTAAGAACTGAGTGGATGGTGAAATCATCTCTAAACATAGGAATGATGGGAGTGCATTTGCTTGTTACCAAGGCAACAGGACTTCAGTGTTATCTTTCAATATTTTCACTGAAAGCAAATGGCAGGATTCAAATCCAGGACTTCTAACTTCAAATTTAATCTCATTTCCACTGTAATATACTTTTCATCTTTTCCTTTCACTTTGGAGTTTCATATGACTCCATTCTGCTCAGATCCTTTAATCTAAGCAAGTACTAGACTGTAATACTGCTCTAAAACATTACCCCTTTCTCACAGAGTTGGAGGCCATGCTGGACTACATAAGGAGTTCAAGGCCAGCCTGCACTACATAGTGAGACTCTGTCTAAAAAATAAATTAAAAATTTCAAAAGAAACTAAGGGTTTTTGCTTCCCCCCTCCCCCGAGTACTAGGGATTGAACCCAGGGAGCAGAGACTGTCTCACTGAGCAGTATCCCTGGCCCCCATTTTTTTAAAAAAACAGTACAAATGTAGTAATATATCCAGATTGAGGAAAAACACAGTAAAAGAGTTACAACAAAGAGACAGGGTGAGCTGGGTGTGAGGGATATGACTAAAGCTTTCTAAGCCAGGGGCAAAATCAATAATCTTACCTACACAGAAAACTGTGCTGAGCTGGAGCAACACCCTGTGTCAAAACAAGGATCCAGACATAGTCAAAACCATACTTTATTTAACAATCTGAATATTTGTTCTTTGGCCTTTCAGCCTTGCAAAGTGAGTGGTAAGTCAAAGCCTGTTTGTTCACAATCTTCTGAGTATGTGTGGCTTTGTGTCTATGTAGACAAGTGTTTGTGTCTACAGGTACCTTGGCTTTTTACAGTCTTTATGATACATTTTATTATACAAAGTTTCATTTTTCTGATAATGCTAAAACATGAATTAAAATATTCCCTGAGTCTAATCATCCTTTCCAAGCCTGCCTCCCTCCATCCCTCCCATAAGACTGCTCCTCAGCTACCATTAATGCCAGGTCTTTAGGGACTACCAGCATGCGTACCCCCTGAGAAGCCACATGGGGATGCTGATTCTGTGCCCCTTGGACCTATCCCCTCTGGCTGGGAAGCTTCTCTGGGAGATGTGTGTAGAGGAGGTCTTGCCAGTTTCTCTTCAGAGTTGTACATTCTGATCTGCGGAAACCTGGAAAGTAAACATGACTGTGTTAGAAGCTGATCTGCCTTTCCACCAGCCACTTGAGAGTAAGCACTCAGTTTTCTTCTCCTGAACTGTATTCTATGTAATGCCACTGGCTTCTGCTGAGGGAGGCGATAGGACCAGGGCATTGGGATTTTTTTAAAGCCTGTATGAGGTACTGTTCATTAACATCATTTGCCTCTGACTCACAGGACGAGCTTCTTTCTCAGGAGCAACAGCTATCATTCTAAAGAACAGACACCCTGAATGGGGCTACCTGATCAGGTGTTTCTCTTTTTCTTGGATGTCTGAAAAGTCTAGAACCAATATTTTGGCCAATCCTTAGTAAATTTTATAGAGTACAATTTTTATACTTGCCTGTTTCATGCCTCCATTTGATGTCAACATTCTGTCTCATACTTCTGAATTATTCTGCTACCTTTTAAGTGTGTAAGTATATTATATGTGTGTATACTTTAGTATGCTTTTGTATAACTTAACTCATTTTAAGAATAAGTACAGCTGGGCATGGTGGTGCATGCCTGTAATCTCAGGCTCAGGAGGTGGAGGCAAGAAGATAAAGTCCAGCCTGGGCTACATAGTGAGTTCAAGGCCAGCTTGAACTACACAGTGAGAACCTGTCTCAAAAAACCCGGTGAAAAACAAAAAACCCATAGAGATTAATTTAAATACTTAGGAGGCAGAGTTAGTGTAAGGCCAAGTGTTGGGAAATGGGAACAAAGGCATAATAAAGTTCCAGTCCATTCTTGGTTCCTGCAGCTTCCATCACCTGACCTTGCCTCAAAGGTGTGTGTTGCTCACTGCTGGATTCCCTTTGCATTTGGAGCCCACAGTGAGGATCACAGCTGGCAACCAGACCTTGTCCACCCACCCACACTGTTCCCTGTACTTCTGGTCTCCTTACCTCTTCTGGAGGCTCAGGTGTTATGACACTGTTTTGTCCTGGAACTACAGAGACATGAAGCTGATCACTGTGACCCTACAACGAGAACAGTTCTGCCACTGAGAGGTGGCTCAGGCTCCTCAGCCTCTCCACTGAGAAGGGTTTTCTGTTCCTTACAGTTTTCCAGGGTCATGTACAACACAAAGGGTAAATATACAAGGTGGGTTCACAAAGCATGAAGCTTCAGGGAAGGCTTTCCGTTAGGTTCTTACACAAATACAATTAATATTCAAAGGGTGGCCAGGTATGGTGGCGCACACCTGTAATCCTGGCACTTAAGAGGCTGAGGCAGGAAGATTACTGTGAGTTCACAGCCAGCCTGGGCTACATAATGCATTCATGGCCTGCCTGAACTGCACAGCCAGACCCTGTCTCAAAACCAAAACAAAACACCACCACACAACAAGAAATGAACAAGATTCAAAGGGTGAAATGGCTTGCTAGGAAAGGAAAACAGGTCTTTAGATTCAAGCTTGTTTCCATGAATAGACACCATGTAATGTGAATGTGTGTGTGTGTGTGTGTGTGTGTGTGTGGTCTTAAAACTACTACCTGCCATTTTTAGATTCACCTTCTCGGGAATGCACTGCAGCTCTCCCACACAAGTGATCCTAAACCACGGTAAGTAGTTTGGAGAGGAAAATGGCATAATGCTCTCTCTGGGAAAAATCATAGGTCCTGAGATGGAACCCAAGGTGCAGAAGCTCCTGCTTACTGTGCCAGGGAAAGACTTAAACACTATCACAGGTCTAAAAACTTTGAAATATTTTTTCACTGAAATTTAGTTTACATACTATAAAAAAATCCTTTAAAAAGAGAACCAATTACAAACACTGTGGTAGTCACTTGAAATTTCATTATTTAAAGAAAATTTCTCCTTTTTCTTTCTAGACTCTGTGTTCAAAGGTATTATTGCCTCCTAAAAAGTCACCCAAACTTCCTTTTCTCTCAAGTGAAAGCAAGAACAGGTTTTTTCCTCAGCCACATTTTTATTTTCCCATTGTACATGTGATACAGCCATATTTCTGCTGAAAGTATGATTTATGATGCATCTGCAGGGGAGATGAGGTATTATGGAAGACAAAATTTCAGAAAGACTGTCGGTGACACAGACTGGATGGGTCTCAGATGCTGTAGCTCCTTAGTTCCACAGGGAAAACACATCTCCTTAGCTGATAATCAAATCAGTCCTACCAAGGAGCAGGGAGGTAAGGGACATTATTAATCTTAAACATAAGGAGACAGCCTCGGGAAAGGAAGCTCTGTGCTTACTTCCTTCCCAGGGAGGATGGTCTTACTGCCTGTTCCTCAAACGTAAACAGCATCTTGGGGCCTATAATCTCCTTTTCAAGAAATTACTCCAAGAATGCAAACTTATTTTATTATTTATCAGAGCCAAATAGAAGGTCACTCAATTTCTGTCTCCATGCTAAATCACATATTACAAAGTCAAGCTGAATTTAATTTGGATTTTCCCTAGCATTGAGTTGCTATTTTCAGCGCAGAAAGATGAGAAGAGGCTGCATTGGACTTGCTCAAGACCACGAATCAGGGGTAGGGGTGTAGGCAAACAATAAAATCTGTTCCAGGACTGCTTATTCATTGTCCACAAGTCCTGGGTATCTCACAGTCAGCATAGCTGACTCTGAAGAGAACCAGCCAAGGGCGACTTTTTCTAGAGCCTTAGTACTACATGTGAATCAACAAACACTGAGGCACTGCTGGATATAATAGCACATATCTGTAATTCTAGCACTCTATGGCTGAGGCAGGAGGACTGTTGTGAATTTGAGACCAGCCTGGGCTACAAAGTGAGCTCAAGACCAGTCTGAAATGCATAGCCAGACCCTGTCTCACAAATGACAAAAAATTTGCAGACCAAAATTAGAGAAAAAGGAGGGCTGCAAGGAAAGCCAACATTTTGGCCCTAGCCTTCCAAGGTCATTTAAGACTCAGGACATATGAGAA